TAGATGAACAACATCGCAAGAAATTTCTTGTATGTTTTGTATACCGTCCTCCTAGTGTAAATGCTGCATGGATTGATTTGTTTGACAATATGGTTGAAGGAGCATTGAGTGAAAATTTGGACTTAGTATTAATTGGTGACTTTAATATTGACCTTATGAAAGATTCTAAAAACTCCAAGTGGGAGGATTTCATTATTGCCCATGATTTGACGCAGTTAATAACACAGCCAACCAGGGTCACTGATACCTCCTCAACCATTATTGATCATATATATGTAAATAACACAGATATTGTTTCTTATGTGAATGTCCCTTGTATAGCAGCAAGTGATCATTTTCCTGTTTGTATGACATTATACCAAAACTCAACCAAAGCAGGAAACATGATAACACATGTACATAATACTATCAAGTATAGATGTTTTAAAAAATTTAAGGATGATGATTTTGTAAATGAATTAACAGCATCAAATCTAGATGAAATTATGCAGAAAACTGAACCTGATTATGCACTCTCATATCTTAGTGAATTGATTATAAAAAATCTTAACAAACATGTTCCTATCAAGTCAAAAAGAGTCAAAAGAAACAAACAACCTGAATGGTTTAATGAAGAAATAACAAATGCAAGGAATTTAAGAGATACTTATCATAAAAGAAAAGATTGGGCAAGTTACAGATTTTGGAGAAATAAGACCAGTGCAATGATTTTAAAAGCAAAGAAGGATATGTTCAAAAATGCAATATCAGAGAATAGGCCAAGTGCTATTTTATGGAAACACCTTAAAAGCATGTCAAAATGTGCAGATCATGGTCCTATCCCTACTCAACTTAAATGTGATGACGGCACGACCACCAATGACAAACAGGACATTATAGAAAAATTAAACACTCACTTTGTAAATGTATCTAATATAGTAGAAAAGAAGGAATTTGATTGTATTGATCACATCGAAATGGAACAACATATGACATCATCTATACGAATATACGAAATCCGTTCCGTATTCCTTACATAACTTGTAAAGAAGTTGACACATATATAAGTAAACTTGATGATACAAAAGCCACTGGATGTGATGGAATTGGACCAAAAATTATCAAATTATGTAGACATATTATCACGCCCTATCTAACACACATCATAAATCTCAGTATATCCCGAGCATGTTTCCCATCTTCCTTAAAAGAAGCAAGAGTGACACCGCTACATAAAGGTGGTGATCAAGATAATATGAATAATTATAGACCCATATCTATATTGCCCACTTTTTCAAAAATATTTGAGAAACATATTACAAACCATCTTTATAAATACTTAACGAAATATGACCTGTTACACACTTCACAGTCAGGTTTTAGGGCAAAACATTCATGTCAGACTGCTCTTGTCCACCTAATTGATAAATGGATTGACAGTATTGATAAAAATGAAATAGTAGGTACTATATTTATAGACTTAAATAAGGCTTTTGATTTAGTAGATCATAATATCCTTCTACACAAACTAAAGATTTTAAACATGACTTCATCAAGTCTGGATTGGTTCTCATCTTATCTACAAAACAGAGTCCAAACAGTTAGAGCAGGCAGCATATCTTCTTCTTTCCAGACAATCAAAGCTGGAGTACCGCAAGGATCCATACTTGGTCCATTAATGTTTATTATCTATATTAATGATATGCCACTTTATGTGAAAAAATGCCTTGTAGATATGTATGCAGATGACAGTACCCTGCATGTAGAGGGAAATAACTCTATTGATATTGCCACAAATCTTCAGGAGAACCTGAATCATGTATTGAGATGGTGTACAAATAACAACATGAAACTTAACCAGCAAAAGACTACTAGTATGATCATTGCAAATAAGCATAAACTCTCCATTCAAAGTCCATTAAAACTGTATGTCAATGGAGAAGAAATTATGTCGTCGTCCTGTCAAAAGGTTTTGGGCATATATATCGAAGAAAATCTTAGTTGGACAACCCAGGTAAAAAAGGTTTCTTCCAAATTGGCAATTGCTGTTGCATTACTTAGAAAAATGAGTGGATATCTGACTACAGAAGCCAGGAAAGTTTATTATAACTCGTATATTCTCCCAATACTCGACTATGCAGCTATTGTGTGGGGAAATGGGTTATCAAAAGAGCAAACCACTCAAATTATAAAAATTCAAAAAAAAGCTCTACGTATTATTTTAAATCTACCTATGTTAACACCAAGTAAAAGCCTTTTTGAGGAAAATAATACTCTGCCATTCACATTCAGAGTAAAATACCACACATGTATATTAGTCTACAAATCTTTAAATGATATGGCACCTGATTACATTAAAGCTGGTCTAAATAGGTGTACTGACACGTATAGATATGGATTAAGATCTACATCTCAACAAAATCTAATATTGCCAAGACCAAATTCTGAATTATTCAAAAAGTCATTTACTTACACTGGAGCAATGTTGTGGAATAATTTACCGGTCAATATTAAAAATACGACCACAGTTTGTTCTTTCAAGAAACACCTTAGGCAGCATCTGCTATCTCTATATTTAAATGAGTAATGTTATTCACACAGGTAACTGTCAAAATTTACAAAGTTTCTGTGAACGTATTGTTACCTTGTACTTTGATGTTAATTTTTGTACATATACATATGCTCAATTATATTAAAACTGTATTCCTCAGGGAAAGAATGCTGTGTGTACGAATGAGCAAAGAGTTTATGTGTCAAATAGTTTGTTTACTGTTTTTATCTGTATAATAATTTGATATTATTCACGATACGTTCGTTCAGATATAGACAATAGTGCATGTATCGTTTATCTAGTCAGCAGATTAGTCTGATTACCAAATATTCATAAACAATAGTAGCGTTCAGTAATCTTACATAATGTTTATTTGTTTTCCATGATTTTGTAGTTAGCATACTAATCTGTTTTAATGTCAGTTAACATGTTTGTATGATGTTTGAGAGGGCCATATGGAAGATTAGTCTTGTACTAAATATGTAACCCTCCTTAAATAAAGATATTATTATTATTATTATTACAAATGTATGTAAACTGTAAAACGAAAGTAGGTCTGCGCGATCGCAAACATTTAATGCTGATATTCTCGCATAAATGTCAGTTAGTACTTGATGTGATAGCAATGGATTAAACGAGTGTTACCTTGTGTTGTATTCTAGCACATCAGTGTCTCAATACATACTGTATTAATCTGTAAATGTTCGATAAACGTCTGTTTATTAATACTGTCCTGATTATGTTGTGAGGTATTTCCGGGTCACGTTCTCGTATCAAGTGCGCTTCCGGTTACGTCATAAAATGCAATTTTTCAATTCACAAAATCTTGATATTTATTAATTAAAGATAGTTTAGAGAATAAACGAGTTAATAAAAACAATATCAATACATTGTAAATATTATTTTCTTGAATGTTTGCGAAGCAGACGATGTTTGATCAAAATCTCGAAACTAGAACATTTTTTCAAAAAAAAATGTGTTTTAAGAGGAAAAATCAATTTGTTCTTTTATGAATTAATGAAAGTGATACAAAAAAGAAATATAGTTAATAATTGATGGTAAATTTATCAAAAACATCATCCTTAGAGAGTATATTCTGGGCATGATCGTTTAGAAGCTTTGCAATACTTCAAACTCTGTCAAACGCGCATCAGCTCGAGATTAGGCGCCTGTTTACAAAATGGCCACTGGAAGTAGCAAGGCGGATTAAATTGGAACTTCAATTGTGAATATTTCGGCAAGTAAACATTGTTCACAAAGCCCATGTGGTGTGTTCATCTAATTTAGTCAAGATGTACTCAGACCAGTCGTTGTTTAGTCGCTAGGGTCATTCACAAAAAAAATTAGTATTATTATATAAACTTATTGACATTCAATGTCTAGACACCAGTTTCCGCGCGTTATGTATTCCGCGCAGACATTTTATCAAGCTATATCTCGTAACTATGGGACCTGCTGGACACAACATAAGGATATTGTAGACGTTTGGCCATCGTCTGTAAACTGACAAAAAAAAAATACCGGAAGTTCGTCAGGAAAACAAGAATTAATCACTGATTAAAAAACACGCATAGATATGCAGTTTTGCTTAATGCTCTTTTTATCTTTTTATGAACCCATACCTGAAAAAACGGTGATATATTTCATTCATGAACCAGTCTTTTTTGTAGTCTGACAAACGTACGAAAATGTCGTATGCAAATTAGGCCACATCTCCTCACCGATTTTTTTCCACTTCCGAAGAGTCAATGAGACATTCTTATTTCGATAAACAGTGTTTTCAATGAAACGTAAACCTTGTAATGCAACGAACTTCCAAATTTCACTAATTTCAAACAGAACAAAATGAGAAATAACTTGCCATCAACCAAAACCGATATAAAACTGCAGAAAAAAATTTAATAACAGATTCTATATTATAACTAAATAAATATAACAAATAAAATTATAAAATAACATGAATTCGTTCAATTTGACACCTTGAAAAATCAATTAAAAATGTAAAATTGAAAAAAAAAAATGTTTTGAATATTAACTTGACGATCAAAGATTTTTTTTGTTATTCCAAACGAAGCTTTTGTTCTTGCAGGTCACTGTAGAGAATTTCTTTTTAGTGAATTCGAGTTATCTTTCTTTGAACACTAAATCAAAATAGACACACGAAACATATGACGGCTACTTCCAGCGGGAGAAATTTGCTAAAAATTGTTTGTTCTGATTTTTTTAAAATACAGTTTTATATTGCATTTTTTTTGTTTCCTTTAGTAGATTGTATACATGTTTATGACAGTCATCCGTAATTTCAACAGTGTTCTGCCGATATGAGTACGAAATCGCGGATGCTTCTTAAGTGCGCGGAAACCGGTAACCCGAGGATATTGTAATTATACTAGTTTCTGTTAGTCTTGATAAACAGATGGCAATCTATTTGTACACAAAGTTATGTAATACCATGCTACCTTTATTTAAGGTATTCGACAGCTTTAAGAGGTAACCGTCCACAGAAAACGTTCAGATTGATACGCAGAAATAGTCGAGGGAGTTCCCGTACTGATGTGATTTATAGACGGAAAAATACCAACAGGGGCATCGTTCTTTCCATGTGTTTAAAATGTCTCTGATAGCGTTAAACACCCGCTACCGGAAGCTGTTCGCCATCGTGTGGGCCCTAATAGAGATACTTCTGTTCGCTGGGCTCTTCTTTGGCTGGGGTACACTGGTTTTCATGTTAAAGGAGGAAGGAGTGTACGGACATCTTTGTGAAAACGAGGCGATTGGATCAGGGCATAGATTTGGAGTGTCAGGACTCGGAACCGTGAATGAAGATCAATTGAATTTAACTACGGTGGGATATGAAGTCTACAGTACAAATGTTACCCACGGATTTAAACATAACAACACAGGCAGCACCAGACGGCATAATGTGGTAGGATGTCCGGCTCAGGACAAGGTTTTCAACTTGGGCTTCACCATGGTCAGTGGGCTTTGGCCATTCTTCTACGGTTTACTCGGCCAACTTGGTCACAGGTTCGGAACTCGCTTTCTTAGACTAAGCAGCATGTAAGTTTGACAGATTATGGCACTCAAAATCGTCTCTCTCTTAATTTAGATTCAGAAGCATATTAGCAACAAATTCTAAGAACTCGGTTGTAAGGACCTCAAACTCGGCAACATAGACTTAATGTCTATCACACTGATCTTTCAGAGAACGTTAAAAAATACATATCGACAGGTATTGTCCAAGAATTCGAGCAAATCCCTTCAATAATCCCTATGTTTATTGACCTGATTATATAAAATAATTAAATATCGTCAGATAATCTTGTCGTTTTTCAAGGGAATCCATGTCAATAATTCATTTGTTCATATTTTGTCCTTGTTTTATTGAGTTTGAGTTCGAAGATGTTTTCGATCACACTTCGGTTTATTTAATTGTACTTTTTTATTTGAACTTTATTTCCGTTCTGCTACTTGAATTGCTACTGATTTGTTATTTTGATAATGAATGGAATTTAAGAGTTTTGTTAATCGTGTTGGTAAATTGGGTTTATTGATTTAATTTGGTAAAATTATGTTCTCATTCTCAACACATATCTTTTTGTTTCAGATTAAGTTTCATTTCCGGTTCTTTATTTGTTGCCTTTACGACACCAGGTAGGTGTGCTTCAGAAAGAATTGAAACACATATCCTTATAATCTGTAATGCTATGCAACCCAGTTTCTTAAAAAGTTATTTTTGTTAAACATCAATATTTATCAATGTCCACAGTATAGGTATATGTTAACTACAAATTATAACCTATGTAAGCTCGGGTAAAGACAAGGCCTGCTTCACCTCACTGCATGATCGTAAGAGACGACTAATGTTGGATTCCCTGCAGAATCGGTGGTCTTCTGGGTCTTCTACGAAAGGGACATAGAAGAGACCAAATTTGATACGCTGCCCCCATCCAAACACTTTAGGTCTTGTTCGTTTCATATATTTGTTTTCTTCTTTCTTTTATATCGACTTTCTCTAACTGGCGGTGTCTCTCTAGGCGTCCGCCCGATACGACACTGGTTGTAGCGAGGACGTTAAACCCAAACAGACACACTGCATATTGTATACACTACAACTACATAATATAGCTGTAGAACATATTTTTTACACATTAACTTGGTTTAGATGTTATCAGGGGCCGCGGTGATAAAGTGGTAACTAGTGTAAGGCGTCTGACATTCTGCTACCACTGGCCCTCCTCCACTGGGTCGCGGTGGCCATGTGGTTAAGGCGTCTGACATTCTGCTACCACTGGCCCTCCACCACTGGGTCACGTGGTTACTCTCCGGAAACTCCGGCTTTCCTCCACCACAAAAACCTGGCACGACCTTAAATGACCATAGCTGTAAATAGTAGGTAAAAAACAAATAGAATAAAAGTACAGATGTGGTACATAATGCCTGCCCTATAACGTGGTACAGCTGTAGTATGGGTAAACATGATATTGCGTAAGAATATTTGATATTGTCAAAGTAGTGAAAAAAATTAAAAGCAAAAGCATAGAAAACTTGCTAGAAAAACTTATGGGAGAAACCTAGTTGAGTAATACACAAAGTGCAACATGAAATATAGGAAATTTACCATATTACTTGATTGTATAAATAATTAACAATGTAATTAATCGTGCAACAGAACTTCCATGGCTGGCCTTTATCGGACTCTTTATGTACGGCATATCCGGATGTAGTCTTTTATTCTCTAACTTCCAGGTAATTATAGATAATGTCCTACGTTCTGGTTTAAAAATATTATTTTTCAAGTTTCCCTTTCAATTTTTTCAATCAAGAAAAATTGCTATGTATATAATATTAATTCGTAACCTGATATTGAGATAACTTTAATGTCATGTGACAGATGCATATCTAAATTGGTTTCATCAGCCGTATTGACAATGCGTTACAATATTTTGAATAACATAATTCATTTTATGACATAAAATTTGATGTTAATCCATTTTAGTATATCTTCAAACTTGTGTTTCGGACTGGATTGTATTTAAATAAAAAAAACTGTTCTTTTAATCTATCACATGCTTCAATTCTTCAAAACAGCTGTCCTACCTGTTCACGCGCGGTCGGTTACTTGTGTGCAGTTTGATGACCGGATCGTTTGATTCCTCCATCGCCACTCAGTTATACATCAAGGTAGAATAAAAAATCCTATACATCATGATTGTTTTTAGAAGTACCTTAACATTAACAGACTAGATTAACGTAAACCTACATCAAGATAAATAAAAGTAACCTTACATCAAGGTAGATTAAAGAAATCCTACATCAAGGTAGATTTAAGTAATCCTACATCAATGCAGAGTTAAGTAATCCTACATCAAGATTAATTAAAGTAACCTTACATCAAGGTAGAGTTAAGAAATGTTACATCAAGATAGAGTTAAGTAATCCTACATCAAGGTAGAGTTAAGTAATCCTGCATCAAGGTAGAGTTAAGTAATCCTACATCAAGGTAGATTATAGTAATCCTACATCAAGGTAGAGTTAAGTAATCCTACATCAAGGTAGAGTTAAGTAATCCTACATCAAGGTAGATTATAGTGATCCTAAATCAAGGTAGGGTTAAGTAATCCTAAATCAAGGTAGAGTTAAGTAATGTTACATCAATGCAGAGTTAAGTAACCCTACATCAAGGTAGATTATAGTAATCCTACATCAAGGCAGAGTTAAGTAATGTTACATCAAGGTAGAGTTAAGTAATCCTACATCAAGGTAGAGTTAA